AAGAGGATGAAGATAATATCCCTCTACAAGCTGAGGAAAGCAGTAAGGAAGCCTTGAGGAATGGGGAAGAGGGGAGGAAGCAGCAATCATGTGGAACTGAAACACAAGGGCACACTCTGTGCTAAGGAAATCAGCGCCGATACAGGAGCATAAGGCACAGATCAGAGGCCACTGAAACCCTGAGAGCGTCACAGAAACACCGGCAAAACCTAAGAACTCCTGCAAGAAAAAAAGCCCCACTGAAGATAAGCTCATAAAATCACAGAAATACAAACTACAGGGAAATAATTTACTACAAGGGGAGAGCTGACAGACATTACATAGGACCCTAAGTAGTGAAGATGGTAGAAAACTCTAAAGGGAGTAAGTCCAAAATTATTAAAAAGGCAAAAATCTTGTTGGAAAAAAAAAAAAGCTATAAGAAAGAGAAAAGAAGGGGTTTTTTTGTTTTCTTTTTTTAAGACAGCTTCTTTCTTGTTGCCCAGGCCGGAGGCCAATGGCATGATCTCTGCTCACTGCAACTTCTGCCTCCTGGGTTCAAGCAATTTTCCTGCCTCAGCCTCCCGAGTAGCTGGGACTACAGGTGTGAGCCACCACGCCCAGCTAATTTTTTTTGTATTTTTATGAGAGATGGGATTTTACCATGTTGGCCAGGCTGGTCTCAAGCTCCTGACCTCAGTTGATCTACCCACTTCGGCCTCCCAAGCTGCCAGGATTACAGGCATGAGCCACTAAGCCTGGCTGAGAACAGGTTTTGCCGAAAAATACTGTTATCAAAATAGGTTTCATGGTACATGAAGTACAACGGAAGATATTTAACGATCTACGAGACCAATTTGAAGAAATCACCTAGAATTTAGCCCAAAATAGTAAAGGTAAAGAGCTGTGGAGGAAAGAATATGAAAACCTAACATACATTGACGAGGAACTGTAGATTGAAAGAATAGGGAGAATGGGGGAGAGGCAATATGGAGGTTGCAGTGAGCTCCGGTCCCACCACTGAGCTCCAGTCTGGGTAAAAGGCTGAGGCACAAGAATCACTTGAACCTGGGAGGCAGAGGGTGCAGTCAACCAAGATCATGCCACTGCGCTCCAGCCTGGGTGACAGAGAGAGACTCAGGCTCAAAAATACATAAATATTTCATCATGTTGGCATTGAAACCTCTGCCTTATGCTACTGGAAGTTTTACTAGCTTTTCCGCCATTAAGTATACCTACTTCTTGCAAAAAGCCTCCTTTTCAACTGCCAAAACCATATTCCTCATAGATAAGGGGAGCAGTCCTTGGGAATATATAAAGTTCGTGGATTGAAAAAGAACATTAACTTCTGAGTAGATAAAATCACATATGACATAGATGCATATATTTACATATGTGTACTTTACATATACACATATACACAAAATATACACACATATTTACATGCATATGTAAAATGTATATATTTATCTATGTGTAAAGTCACACACATATGTGTGTGATATATATATATAAATTTATGTTATATATGTATATATGTAATATATATCTACACATATATAAATATATGGGCATATTACATATACACATGTGTATTACATATATATATATATATTTATCTATACACACACATCTAGACACATCACAGTGAAATTTCAAAGCGTCAAGGACAAAGAGAGTATCTGAAAAAGCATCTGGAGAGAAAGGACAAATCTGTAAACGAATAACAACAAAACTGACAGCAGATTTCTCTTTAGCAATAGTAGATGATGAAAGACAATGGGACGGCCTCAAAGTGCTGAGAAAAAATACCCATCTACTTAGAATTCCATGCCCAAATTTATTTTAAATTCTCAGGCCTGGCCCGGTGGCTCATGCCTGTAATCCCAGAACTTTGGAAGGCTGAGGAAGGCAGATCACCTGAGGTCAGGAATTCGAGACCAGCCTGGCCAATATGGTCAAACCCCATCTCTACTAAAAATATAAAAATTAGCTGGGCATGGTAGGTCACACCTGTAATCCTAGCTACTCAGGAGGCTGAGGCACGAGAATCACTCGAACCTGGGAGGCGGAGGTTGCAGTGAGCTGAGATCACGCCACTGCACTCTGGCCTGGTAACAGAGAGAGACTGGAGCACAAAGCAAACAAGCAAACAAACAAATAAATAAAAATAAACAAATACTCAGCGAGTTTACCATGTACGTGGCCTCACTGAACTAAAGAGCATCTCAGCAAGAAGGAAAGTAAACCTAGAAGGAAGACTGAGATACAAGAGGCAACAGTGAGTGAAGACATTTTCAAATATGTTGGCAAAAGGAAATGAATATTGACTATTCAATATTCAAGACTTAAATTGGAGGGTTTAATTTCAGGGTTTAAAAAAAGAACATGCAAGAGAAATATTAGGAAACAGTGACACGAGAGGACAAACGGAGAAATCAGAGTTAAAACATTCCACAGTTATTCTTCTGCTTAAAGTGATGGTAGCAAAACCCACTAACTCTAGATTGCGGAGTTTTATGTTAAAAAACTAAGGATGACCACTAAAAGAACAGAGATAGAATGTCTAACTTCCAAATTTGTAAAGAAGTAAGAGAAACAAAGCTTCATCCGTCCAATACAATGGAAGAAGGAGAAAAAAGGAACAAAGAAAAATCATGGCAAATAGAAAATATTAACTATGGTGATTAAATATTACCAAAATGAAAACGGGCTAAACGATACAGTTCAAACACAGAAATTCCCAGATTAAAGAACAAAGCCAGCTACGTGTTTTTTTAAAAAGAGACATATTTAGTGACTTTTCCCGTGGCAGACTGACCGGACTAGCAACTCCGATTGTCAATAACCAGAAAGGGAATAAAGCGTAGGAAAGAACCTGTTTTCAGACGCTGGACAACAGGACGACACACACTGGATACACGACCCGAGGGGAGGAGGGACCTGAGCTGGCCCGAGGGCCTGGCTTTCTGCCTGAGGCACTTTCCACGGCAGTGTGAGATGGGGGCAGTCTTCCTGGGACAGGCCCATGGGATTAGGGAACTGGGTGGGAGGGGAACTGAGGCAGCTGGAAACTGCAGGGCAGAGTAAGAGAGAAGCAGAGAAAGACCTCCCCATGCAAGACGGGGACAGACTGCAGATTACGAAGGAGTAGAGACTGAGGCTCTCTGAGAAAGGAAGGCCCTGTGACTTCGGGATAGTTAAAACATTTAGTTTTAATTTAAAATGATTAAGTTAATTTGGTTTAACTGGCCAATCATCAGTTGTGATAATTTACCAAATTAGTTATAACTAAATGGTTTTAGTTTAAAACATTTAGTTTTAAACCAAATAGATTTAAGGGAATTTTTCTTGTTATGGCGCAGGGAATCAGCAATAACCGCAAGGAAAAAAGGCAGCAGGTGTTGGCTCATGGGCCCAGCACAGCCCCACAGAGCCCCCGACACCCCAGAATGACACTGAGCAGGAGGGACCCAAGGACACGAGAAGGGCCAGCATATCAGCAGACAGAACCGCACGTATGTGACATTTCACTCCCCAGGTGCCTTGCTTGCCCGCCCCCAATCCCAGCCCTGCGTGGAGAGGCCCTGGAAATGAGATGGAGCCAGAATGGAGACAGAAGCCACAGGGGGGAGGGCCGAGGCACCCCCTGAAGTGCCAGCTGCACGAGAGCAGTGCGTGACCCCAGCTGCCATTATGTGGAGCAGAATGACCAGCCCAGCCACAGCATCGTGGAAAGCACAAGCCATGTGTTTGAAGCCACTAGGTTTGGGATGGTTTGTTACGCAGCAATAGCTAACCGAGTCACCTTCCTCACACACCCCAAACTCAGATGTGACTCAAGAGAAATGAGAAAGCCTGCAATGAGTATGTTTCTACCATTTGAGAGACTAAAGACTTGTACCATCCATTGCATACCAATTACAGAAAAAGAATTAATGTTGCTTTTCTCATATATTTGAGTATGTCTGAAATTCACATCTTCTCTATGTACTGTGTGAAAACAAAGCTGCCCCTCCCTATGGAGGTAGCAGGCATCCCTTGTCCTTCCCTGTACCCTTAGCTCCTTCTTTTGCTATCAGGGCCCCCTTTATCGCTTTGGCAAACTACCCCTCCTGCATTCTGTGGGCACCAGAGGAACTTCAGGCAGAGTGCCCTCGCATGTGGGGTGGACCCGGGCACAGCACTGGCCAGTTCAGCCTTCTCTCCCAGAACCCATGGGCACAAGGGCTAAGAGCCATCTGGCCGTGTTGTTTCAGTGGCCAGGGACCTGCCCGGGGTTTCCTGCTGCCCAAGACGCCTGTGCCTGCCCGGGCTCCCCTCCTGCTCTCTGCCTGTTGCTGAATTCAGTCAGAATTGCTTTCCATTGTCCATCATCAAAGAATGAGCCTGATGATACATGACATGGCCTGACAGGGCAAACTCAGTGGTGTGCTGAGTATTCTTCAGCGTGGAGGTCACATGGCTGAGCCATGTGTTGGCCTGGTCACCTGCAATTCTTGCCAAAAGGATCATTTGAGCGATGAGCACTGATTTATCTCAATGCAAGCCTGTCAGCGACGCTTCGGAGAAAGCCACCCTCCTGGCCCGGCGCCCCGGGCCCCGTGCTTGCCTCTGGCCTCCCCAGCTCTCGTGTTCTTTGCGATTCCAGATGTCAGTCTAGCTCATGTTTTCTTCCCACCGAACCCCCCAGCAGCAGCAAGCACAGCGCCAGGCTCATCACAGGTTTTAATTATTGATGGATTGATCGGGCTGATCTGCTCCTGAGTGTCTCTGCCCCAAGACTCCCAGCAACGCGCACATGCCGCAGGAAAGCCCCACTGGGTGCATGCAGGATGCAGCTGTTCCTAAGGCGACAGTGTGATGACAGGGCCCCGGCTGGTGGCGTTTTGGGTGGGCACATGACTTGTGGCTGGGAGTGCCCTGAACCTCTCAGGTGAGGGAGCCTGGTCACGCATGAGGCCTGGCTCCAGTCCCGCCCCTGCAGGCCCTGGGGGAGACCCCCGTGTGCCACACATTACCGTTTCTGCAGGACGGTGACAAACTCGGCGAGCCGGTCACGCTCGACCTCAGCAGCCTGCCAAAGGGTCTTCAGCTCTGCCACTCGTGCCTGCCAGCCTTTTTGTTCTGGGGAGTCCGAGAACCTGGGGCCAGGGTGGAGGGCAGAGGGCAGAGGTCAGCCGAGGACTGCAAATAACACTTACCCCTGTGCTGGTGGGAAAAAGGAGGACACTCAGGGGTTCTCAGATCGAGGGAAGCAGCCCAGCCCCCTAGGTCCTCCCTGCTGGCTGCTTTGTCCACCACTCCTGGTCCTGCTCAGGGCCCTAGGCCTCCCACGCTGGCTTCGAAGCTGACTTCTACCAGAGCCACACAGTCCACCCCAGCCCTGCGGAGGCCTGGAACTAGTCGGAGGCTACGGCAGCTGGCTCCTGCCGACCTGGGGGGCCCCATCTCCGTGTCCCTGCCAGTCTCCCCTAGCCCGCCTGCATCCTCTGGCTTGGTCCCCAAGCCCAGCCCACCCTCCCACAGCCTGGGCACCCGGCTCTGCGACTTGTTCAGTTTTCTCCAGCGTGAGCCAACACGCCCCTGCCTCCCTCTTACCACTGGGCCTGCCTACCAGCCCTGACCTGCTGGCTGGAGCTGGGGACAGAAGGTAACTCTACCCCCCCCAGTTCAACCCCCCAGAGCCCACAGGTGAGTTCCAAGCTGCTCTCTGCTGTGCCCCCACTTTTCCTAGTGAGACTCTGAGCTCACTTTTCTAGTGATGCGGGTTCGGGAAGCTGCAGAGCTGGGCAGTGTCCTGAGAACCGGGCTGGCACGTATGACCCTGAGGGCTGACTTCCTCTGTGGTCCTGGGCAGCTCTCTTCCGCTCTCCTGGCCCCAGTTCTCCCACAAACATGGGTAGGTGTGGTTGAGATGGGCTCCAAGAACTGCAGGCCCCTCTGGGACTCCCAGATATGCTCTAAGGTCTTGCTACTCCAAGTGGTCTCTGAATTGGGGGCTCTGGCGTCACCTAGCAGCTTGTTAGAAACGCAGTCCCAGGCTCTGCCACAGACCTGCGGCATCAGAACCACACCAGACCTGCCGATCGCAGGGGCTGTGCGCGCTGCAGTCTGGAAAGCCCCATTGCTCCCCAATTCTCAATGTCCGATTCTTCACCCTGCCCTCCCCCACCAGAGGCGCCGGAAGGGAGTGGTTCACACCTCACATTCTCTGGGGTCACTCTGCCCTGTGAACTCCTGCCCGTCACCTGCGGGAGGGGACTGTGAGCTCCATAAGAGCAGGGCCCACGCATGTGTGGTTGGGGTCAGTGTTTGTGTGCTATGGAGGAAACACGCCTGAGAACCGGCTGCCTGGGCGGCTGCGGGGCAGAGCAGCTGCTGTATCCCTGTGCCGTGCAGAGGTCCCAGCCACGCAGGCCCGGAGGGGCTCTAACGGGTCATCTTCCTGACCCCAGAACTGTGACTAAAACCTGAGGCGAGCCTGCCGTTCTCCCTGTGCTGGGGCGAGGCCGCCCACCCGCAGGAGCGTGGCACATGCCTGGCGGCTGGGTGGCAGCCCACTCTCCCGAAGTGCCCCTGTGACCCCAGCCCGACGGGTAGGCAGCTTTGGCCCACAGACCCTGTGCTGCCAAGTGTGAGCAGCATGCCTCCCCCCACTTTTGAGGGACAGCAGCCCAGACAAGGACCAGTTTCCTGGAGCCACAGAGATGAGGGGCTGGGGCCACGCAGAGGCCTTGCCTGGAACCTGAGCTGACCTGGCTGAGGGTCAGGGCGGGGAGCGCTGACGGCAGGAGCACGGCTCCAGCTCCAGCGGACAGTGGGCAGGGCTGCGACAGTGCTTAGAGGCAGGACAATGCCGCCCTTTGTCTCCGCTGGCAGGGGGAACAAAGGGCTCATTCACACCCTCTGGCTTGATTCTATCAACAAAGAGGGGCCCAAGAGCTCAGGGGATATCAGCGGGAACCCATAGCATGTGAAATTCTCCCTCACAGGCTCATTCTCAATGAGCAAGAGAAGGTGAGGGAAGGTGCTAGAAGCCAGGCCCAGGAAGCTCCTCACGTTAATTCTCAGGTAGCAGGTAGGAACCCTAGCCTGGGGGTCAGAGGCCAGATCCCAGCTCTGAAGCTGCTGACTCCATCACCGTGGACAAAACACTAGACTTCCCTGATCCTCCGTGTCCTTATGTGACCTTGGAAGAGTCCCTGGGCTTTGCCTGGCCTCAGTTTCCCCTCCTTTCAATGGGATGGGAATACTGGTTGAGCAATCCAGAATGGGAAATGCTGTGAGGGTCCGGGGTCGGGGGTCCATACCTAGGCGAGGTCCTGTGGGGACTGGGCAGGGAAGGCCTCGTGAGAGCAGATTCCACCAGTGTGTGGCCCAGGCTGGTCACAGAGCTGTGCGGAGGCAGAGGGGGCTGTCAGCCTGGGAGGCAGCCGGGGCCCTGCTGGGCCTCACCTCTGCCCGTGAGGGAGAGATGGGGCCGCCAGGGGTCCTGTGCATTTGCGGCCCTTCTTTCCAGAGCTCCTGCTTGCTCAAAATGAGACAGAACAGGAGGCGCCAGAGCCTTCACAGCCCATCAGAGGTCTGCTTGAGGGTCCCAGGGGCAGAAAAATGTTGAGGCCCGCTCAGAGAGGCTCTCACAGGGAGCTGCATCAGGCCTGCTCTCGAAGTGACAAGCTCTGGACCTAACGGGTTCATTCCCGCAGACGCAGCGCCGAGGCCACAGACAGGCTCACGCGCTGGCAGAGCAATAGCAAGTCATCTTAAAATTGCACCCATGGCTTCCCATCAGAGGTGGCAAAAAACAAGCTTCCTTCTGAATGATTCACATTCACTTTCCAGCCCCTCCATCCCACGGCTTTCTTACCGAGAAGACCCCAGCCTGCCAGCACGGTCACTGGCCGAGGTCGGGGGCTTGGCCAGGTCTGGGTCCTCCAGGAACTGGGTACAGGCAGGGCTGACCTCAGGGACACCGGGCCCCTCGCCCGCTCCATTATTCCGAAGATACTGTAGGAACAGATGTGGGTTCCATCCTCAGGGCTTTGGCTCAGAGGCCTGGAGAAGGCAGGAGGGGACCTCGGCTTCATTTCGGGGCTTTCAGAGGATATGAAAGAGGCATCTTTTCAGGAGTGAAAGGCGAGGCCTGTTTGCTGAGGACCCTGCTTGCATGATAATGATGTCTAATAATGCCTCTCTTCAGAAAGAAGGCTACTGGTGTGAGGACGGTGACCGGGCCAGACTCCGGGTCCAGAGGGAGGTTTGTGACCTCGCACGCCGGGCGGCTAGGGACTGACTCTCTGAGTGGGCCCACTTCCCCACACAGCTCCCCCCACGTGTGGACAAACTCCGGTGTGACTTGAGGCCAGCTGCCTTACTCAGCTGGACACCTGGACCTTCCAGACACCTGCGGCCAGAGAGGCTGGCGGGACCTCTGTGAGGGCGGGCAGCCTTGGGTAGAGGCTGAGCCCACCAGGCCCCACCCCTCCCTCAACCCCTTCCTCTTCTGGGTACCTGCGGGGGCTGGGCTGACAGGAACATTAGGGGACCCCCAGCAGGAGTCAGGCCGCCAGAGTGGACAGCTGGTGTGCGCCCCTAACAACCTGCTTGTCCCCCAGTCCCACCCATTCTGAGAAAACTCGAAACATGTGCCGACTTGTCTGGTGGGTAATCTTGGCCCCATTCAGCTGGTGACCTCGGAGGTAGGAACAGTCTTCTGCGTGCCTGGGGAAAGTGGTGAGGTGAGGATGCTGGAATGTTCCTGTGTATCCCTTCAGACTTTCCACCCCAGTGAGCCAGGATGGGGAGCAGGGCGAGGACTGCAAGGCCGCGTCCCCACTCACTGCCTCCCCGTGCCCCCAGGCTCCCCTTCGGCCTGGCCATACTCTGTGTCATAGCCAGTCCTGGGAGCCTGTGGGGATAGAGGCTACAGGGCAAACCACTGCCAGCCAACGCCAGCCTGAGGCTGGGCTGAGGGGCTCTTGGGCTCTTGCCTCTGAACAAACCACAGATCCCCAGAAACAAAGGGCAGGGCTGCTTTGCTGCTTCGCAACGTGCCTGTAGCTGGGCCCGTCAATGTCCCAGTGGGCCAGAGGCTGCAAGGCTCCTTTGTCACTGGGAGACCTGTGTGCCCAGCAGGAACTCCTCCCTAAGGGTGCCACCCAGTCCCAGCACCGCCCCAGGGAGGAGCTACAGGGAGGTGAAGGTGCCTGACTCCTAGCAGCCCCAAGCCATGCCTTCGAGGCACCTGCCAAGACAAAGTATCTTTACAAGCTCACGCCTTCCACGAGCATTTACTGAGCATCTACTCCGGGCTAGGTCCAGTTTCAGGCGCCAAGGCACCATGGCCTGCGCTCTCTCACAGGCAGCGCAGGGAGAAGACAGGAAAATGACCACACAGTGTGACAGAAGTTTGGCTGGGGATGCGCAGGGAGTCAGGAGTGTGCCTGGAAGGGCACATAACACAGAACAGGGGCCCCGGAGCTTCCTGGGAGCTCCCGGCTAGGTAAGACCTGAAGGCCGAGGGGCAGCTGTGCAGAGGGAGGGGGCGCGTGTCACGCGTGAGGAGCTGAATGGTGCCTGGGCAGCCACAGTGTGGGGAGGGGGGCGGCAAGAGCTAGTCACACGGTGCCTGGAAGCTGAAAGAAGACGCTTTCCTTCACCTACCCAGCTGCTGGGGCTGCTGCTACGTCTTGAACCCTGAGGACGAGGCCTCCGCTGGGGATGGGAGAGGGTAAACTGGTAAGTGCCTGGGTCCGTGAGGACCAGGTGAGGTCGTGGTGACAGTAAGGCATGAACAGAGTTTAAGGAGAGCAAGGACACGATCAGGTCTGTGTGCAAAGTGCGTTGGGGAGCTATACAGAAGCAGGCGTCCAAGGCGGAGCCGGGGATGACGCACCGCGGCCTGAGCCAAGGCAAGCGGAAAGGCGGCGGTCGGGGCTGCACCGGTGCCCTGCTCACCTGCACACCGAGTCGCCCGATCAAGGGGGAGGTGGCGGTCGGGGCTGTGCCCGTGCCCTGCTCACCTGCACACTGAGCTGCCCGACCTCCATCTCCAGCTGCTGCACTCTGGCCTCCCGCTCAGCCACCATGGCCTGCAGCTGGGCCACGAGGCTGCTGCTCCGCTGGGCCTCGCTGTTCAGCCGCTGGTCCATGTGGTGCTGGGACAGTCGCGTCTTCTCCTCCTTCAGACTCAGGCTGCCGAGGGTCTCCTGCAGCTGCTTCAGCTGGTCCTGGGGGTCCAGGCAGGAGGGCAGGTGGAGTCAGTCACATCCCTTGGGCAGGGGAGGACAAGGACAGACTGCCTCCCTCACCCCAAAGCAGCCTGCGGGAACCTAACAGTGGGACCCTGCTCCCTTGAGAGGCATAAACACCTTCCTTGCCTGCCATGAGCCTGTCAAGCCAGGCGGGTGGGGACCATGTGCTTTTCCGCTCCTCAACCTCCTTCTCTGAGTTTGGAGCCAAGGAGGAGATCCAAGGGCTCCCGGGACAACAAAAAGCAGATCAGATGGTGGGTCCTCACCTGAGGGGGATTGGGGAGCAGATCA